CCTACTCATCTTAGGAGACTTAAACACCATTGAAAACCCACTGCTTGATAAGACTTCCAGGCATGGTTCGACGAGAGAGAATGACTTTCTCTATCATCACTGCAAAGATTTTGCCATCTCAGATGCCTTCCGTTTCCTACACCCGAGTGAGCGAGAATTCACTTTTTACTCACAGGCGCATCAGGAGAGCTCACGGATTGATCGAGCCCTGGTCTCTCAGTCCCTGCTCCCGCGCTTGGTGTCGGCTGCGCACATCTCGCCGGACGAGCCGGTCTCAGATCACGGTTTTACCATCCGAGTAATCTTCAAACTCAAATCGCAGCTGGAGTTGGGGCCAGGGGTTTGGCGTCTTCACCCTTCTCTGTTAGGGAGGCCTGGGGCTAAGAGGAAAATTGAGGAGGTGGAGCGGTTGGTCACGCAGAATGGTGGGGGTTTTACGTCTCTTATCTCTCGCCTGAGCGCCAGCCTGCGGTCATACGCAAAAGAGGAAAGTAAGAGGATAAGGGCGACCATTAACCATCTTACTTCAGCAGTGGCTGCACAGCGTCAAGAGGCCATGCAGAACCCGAAGGATCAAGCTCTGAAAGATCGGCTGAGGAAACGGGAGCAACAGCTTAAGGAGTATTTCGCATGCAGGCGAGATAGGATGCATACAATGGCCGGGATGGAGCTGGCGCTGTCAGGGGAGGTTCCCTCACCGCATCTGTCAGCACGCATAAAGACACGGAAGGTCAGAACGCAGATAGCAGAGGTAGCAGTACCAGGAGGGGTGGTGTCGGAACCAACGCGAATCCTGGAAGCAGCGGCGGACTACTTCCGTAGTCTCTTCGGGGAAGATAAGCGGACGGGGTCTTCGAACTAGAGTCCAGTGGCTGGGAAGAAGCTGTTGTATTCTGATGCGGAGAGTCTACAGGCGGATTGGACGGAGAAAGAAGTGAGACAGGCGCTGAAGGAAATGGCGAGTAATAAGACACCGGGGAAAGATGGCTTACCGAAGGAGGTGTTTGAGATGCATTGGGACACGCTTGGAAAGCATGTCATGGGGTTGGTTCAAAGCTTCGCCCTCACCTCTACACTCCCGACCAGCGTGAAGGATGCGGTGACGATTCTCCTGCACAAGAAAGGAGCGAAGGACCAGTTGGATAACTATCGCCCGATCACACTTTTGAACATCAGCTACAAGGTGCTGGCACGAGTCCTGGCGAGCAGAATCAAAAAAGTTCTTCATCGGGTGATCTCGCCGGAGCAGTTTGGCTTTATCCCGGGGCGACGGATGTCAGACGCGGTGGGGCTGGTCGCGGATATCATCGATGCAGCCAAGAACGGGAGGGAAGACTGGTTTATGCTGCTGGTTGATTTTAAGAAGGCGTTCGACTCGGTGTCTCGTGACTTCATCTTCGAAGTGATGGGGAAAATGGGTTTCCCGGCTCGGTTCATCGGTTGGGTGAAAGGCCTGCACACAAACACGAGGACGAACTTGTTAATCAATGGCTGGCTGGGAGATGCGGTGGAGGTGCTCTCAGGAGTAAGGCAGGGCTGCCCATTAGCGCCATACCTCTTCCTCTGTGCGGTGGAACCTCTGGCGCAGAAGGTGATGAAGCAAAAGATAACTATCTCTCTCACCAGCTGCGTCGGGCAGAGGCTGGGCTACATTGGCTATGCGGATGACACAACTCTCCTGCTGCAAGGGAAACAACAAATTGGGAAAGCGGAGGAGGTGTTGGAGGAGTTCAAAAATATTTCCGGATTAGAGACAAATAAGGGGAAGTCAGTGGTGTTGCCTCTGGGAGCTAACCTGGGGAAAAAGACCTGGCGTACCGACGGGTTTCGTTGGGCTGATGCTAGTGAAGCGGAGAGACTCCTCGGGGTGTGGGTCACGCCGAATGGGAGCTGTCAGCCGACGTGGGACAAGGCGCTGCAAAAGATCGCTGGGAAGATGATGCTGTGGTAGCCGCAATTCCTCCCGATTAAGGCTCGGACAGCAGTGATGGACGGGTACATACTGCCGATTGCGTGGTCCCAGGCTCAGGTTTATCCGCCACCTGCACAAACCTGGAAGGAGATCACGAAGATGACGCAAAAATTCATGTCAGCCAACAAAGTTTCATCCGAGAAGTGCTTTAATCTCTTGAGCAAAGAGCTCCTATTCACGCCGGTACTGGAAGGCGGAGTGGGGGCGAAGAACCCGGAAGCGATGCTTACCTGCTTGACGGCCAGGAGGATCGGGCTGATACTCACGGAGACGGATCAGTTAAAGCGAGCACTGATGCGTCAGGCAGCCGACCTGCCAAGGGGACTGGAGACGTTCATGGCACATGAGAAGCTGCTGACGACATGGGAGGGGAAAAGCCAGAGGTGGAAGCTGTCATGCGCAAATTTCATGCGATCACCGCTGGCGGTGACCACGGAGGAACGCGAGGTTAAAGAGTTGCTGCTGGAGAGGATCACGTTTAACAGACATATTCTCCTGAAAGGAACCACGCCGGTGGGAGGACAGAAAGCGGCAAAAGGGCTTCTGGGCGTCAGGCTGGGAGATCTTGTCGGGAGAGATGCAGAAGGGAAAGGGGTGCTGAAAAGCCTTGAAACCCTAGAGAGAGAGCTGCGGGGGAAGGACTCGGCGAATCTTGCGCTCAAGGCTTTTGCGGCTGCGCCAGAAGCATGGAGGAAGCGGCTCATCTCGGTGGAACTCCCGAACATGAGCTTTGCGGACGAGTTCGAGGTGGGAAGAGGCGGGCCTTTACAGCTCCGGGCGAAGTTGTTGGCGGAAGGGGAAGCGGTCCCGCTGAGGTCTCTCCGGAAGCACTGGAGGCATGGCAATGGCGGAAAAAACAAGCGGGAGAAATGGGCGAGTCGGTGGGGCGGCAGCATTGATTGGAAACGGGCAGTTCAGATTCGTGAATCACTGGTTACCCCAAGTCGCCCGAGGGATGTTCTACTGCGTATACACTGCCTCAATCTACAAGTGGGGGAGAGACTGGAATTTCTCAGCAGCAAGCCAGTCTGCCCGCACTGCGGGGGGTTTGAGACATTGGAGCACTGTCTTCTGGAGTGCCCTAAAATTCAGGGGGTGGTTTCGGCGGTTAAGAGGGCCTTAAGGATGATAAACCCGGGCAGGAAGAATGACACACTTGGCGAGTGGCTGTTTGGTAAGGCGGGGTCCCAGTCAGCATTTCCTGAAGCCTCGCTGGTTGCGACCGCCCTTCACCAGCTTTGGGCGGAAAGATGTGAAGGGGCCTTCAAGGGCTGCAAGTTCCGCACGCGGAGGGTTCTACGGAGGATTGAGTCAGCCCTTCGCATGCATGTTAACGTTTACGTGCGGGCCTCGGCAGCAAGGATGCAGCAGTGTGGGGAAGTTCAGCAGGCCAGATGGCAAAAAATGTCGGAGCAAGAACGTGACCTTCTGAATCGCATCAGAGTAGCGGATGGCAAGGGTTGGAAGTGGTCCAACAGTTTCGCAGCAATTTGGGGCAAACCTCGCAGGCCCCGGATCCATGTCTGAGGATCGAATTCTTTGAGGCGGGGCTTCCTGTCTCTCGTATACAGTTACGACTGTTTATGCGTTGTACACTTTTGTTCTGGTGTATAATTCATATAAGCAAAAAAAAAAAAAAAAAAAAACCTATACATAAAAAAAAACTCTTGAAAAAATAGACAAGGTACATAAAGAAAATCTTTGGGTTCAGACTAGGTAAAAAAAAAAGCCTGAACGGACTCTGAATCAGAGTAAAAAGTCTGATATCTAGGGGCCTGGTCTACACCCCAACATGGATCCCATAAAACCTATTGCATACAGTTGGATGACGGACGAGCCATCGATTATGGGGCCTACTGTGGACCATTGCAGGCGAGCTCATAAACGCATGTGATACTGTACCGCCCGTAACCTGTCTGAACTTCCTGCTCCTACTGCTGGCAGTCACCTACGAATAATAGTGCCTATTCTCGTCGACTGCTACTACATCTCAGCTCGGCCCTTCTACACACCACTGGTGCTTCTGCTGCTGCTGCTGCTGCTGCTGCTGCTGCTGCTGCTGCTGCTACAACACAGCACAGTACAATGCTCCACGATCCAATATCTTCCCCTCCAACCACCACCCACCACCTTCCCCCTCTGCCTCCACACCCCCTATGCACACCCCCTCCCTATGCCCTCTTGAGAATAACATCTCCACCATCCATCTCCATACACTCGCCCTTCGATATTGTCATGCTCCCCTTTAAGAACTCCTCCAGCTCAGCGGCCCTTTCAGGTGCCTTACACTCGCCCAGGCTTCGTTTTAAGAACACCTGCACATCAAACTCTCTCCTGCAAGGCGACTCGAGGCTGAGGCTTCGTTTTAAGAACACCTCCAGCTCATGCGCCCTTGATCCTGGGGGAGGCGACGAATGCGGCACTTGCAGGGCAGCAGAGAGCGGGACGGTGGGCAGCAGTCGAAGGGTGGATTGCAGTGGAATTGTGGGTGGCAGTGGTACGGAGGATTTCAGAGGAGTGGCCGCGGATGAAGCTGGGGAGGAAAAGCTAGCACTGTGAGTCAACTGAGTCAATGCAGTCAGTGAAGTCAGGCCAGGTGCTTCAGGTCTTAAGGTACGAGCCATTCCAAGCCCGAAAGCAGGTTTTCTCCCGGAAAGCAGTGCCAGTGACCCCGGAGCTGAACCGCAGGCTCGGAGAACACCATCCGGGCCTAGAGGTACGGCTTGGGAGCCTGTGCCCTTTTCAGCAGCAGCCCCGGGTAGGATAACACCTGCACCCGATGTACTGTTCTCAGGAGTCCATGTTCGGATAACACCTGCACCAGATATACCTTTCTCAAAAGCCCAGGACTGGGTAACACCTGCGCCAGAGCAGGGGCAAGGAGCAGGGGCGATGTGAGGAGCAGAGCAGGAGCGAGCCATCAGGCAGGGGCCACAGGGGGAGGTGCAACTGGAGCAGGCTATACTGGGGGAGGTGGAGCTGGGAAGGGCTTTACTAGGAGCAGGGGAAGTCGGGACAGTAGAGAAGCTTATTGGGTAGAGGCTCTGCGAGAGAGGAATATTGGGAGCTGAATTACTTGATGATAGGGTGCTGGGAAGGTGGGAGTGGGAGAAGGGATGACTGAGGAGAGGGTTACTGGGGAGGGGGTTACTGGGGAGGGGGTTACTGGGGAGGGGGTTACTGGGGACGGCTTGACCCGGGAAAGGGTTATTGGTGAGAAGAGTATTTGGGATGGGTTGACTGGGATAGGGACGAGTCGTGGTTGGAAGGTTGGGCGAACGAGGGACACATGGGTAAGGAGGGGGAAGGCTTGAACCCTGGGATCGGGTGGCAGGAGGGAGAAGGGATGAGGGGGAGGAGATACATGGGACAGTCTTGTGGGAGGAGGAGGAAAGGGGGAAGGGGGCTGGGAAGGGCGCGGGCATGGGAGAGGAAAAGGGAGAGGAGAAAGGAAAGGAGATGGGAGAGGAGCGGTACTGCAGTCTATGTGAGTAGGACGGATGGTAAGCAGGGGGGAGTTGAGACGGCACATTAAACAGCTGCAGGCTCTCTTTACTATCACGCCTGACATTAGGCACACTCAGCAAGCCCATCCCGCTATTCCCCCGCCCGTTGTGGGGAGCTTGGAAGTCGGGGGAAGAGGCAGCAGTCGGCATGCCGGCGAGTACAGGCGCGGATGCGGGCGCGGGAGCGGGCGCGGATGCGGGCGCGGATGCGGGCGCGGGAGAGGGCGCAGATCCGGGCGCAGATGCAGGTGCGGATGCAGGCGCGGATGCAGGCGCGGATGCAGGCGCGGATGCAGGCGCGGACGCAATAGAAGCAGCAGGCGGGGCTGCTTCAGCTGAACCGGGAACATAACACACTGCAGCGAAACCAGGAGCTCCGCAGGCTATAGCGAACCCAGGAGCAGCAGAGGCTGTAGCGAACCCAGAAGCACCGCAGGCTGTAGCAAACCCCATTTGTCTCTCCGGGACTTCTTTCCATGAGCCACAGGCGCAATCAGGCATGCCAGACCTTGTGGACGCAGATCCCCATGGATTTGTGACTGTATCGAAAGCAATAGCACATTTTCCTGCGACTGTGGTTCTTGTGACATCCCTGTGTGTGACTGTATGGGGACCACCGCAAGGGGAAGTCCCTCGGGAACTCCCTAGGGAGCTGCTGGCGGGAAGGCTTCGAGAGAGGCAGGACGGACCAATCAGATCACTGCTTCTAAGGGAGCCTCGCTTGCGCTTTGGAGTTCCCTGGGACCTGCCGAGGCTCGGGCTCAGCTTCGGGTTGACGCTCGGGCTTTGCTGCTGCTGCTGCTTCGTCCGCGTCTCGCTTGGTGCCCCGAGAATCAGATCCAGACTGCCGCTGCTGGACCATCTGTACCGCATAGCACCGCTCTTTGTGGCAACAGGCCTGCTGCTGGGGCTGCTGCAAAAAGGCGGAGTGACAAGAGCAGCATAAGGTGTGACAGCAGCAGGTGTGACAGCAGTGGGTGTGACAGCAGTGGGTGTGACAGCAGTGGTTGTGACAGCAGTGGTTGTGACAGCAGTGGGTGTGGCAGCAGTGGGTGTGACAGCAGTGGGTGTGACAGCAGTGGGTGTGACAGCAGTGGGTGCGACAGCAGTGGGTGTGACAGCAGTGGGTGTGACAGCAGTGGGTGTGACAGCAGTGGGTGTGACAGCAATGGGTGTGACAGCAGTGGGTGTGACAGCAGCAGGTGTGACAGCAGTGGGCGTGACAGCAGTGGGCGTGACAGCAGCAGGTGTGATAGACATGGTCGTTGCTGCTCCTGCCGCCGAAGCGGTCATGGCGATGGGATGCTGTTGCTGTTGCTGTTGCTGTTGCTGTTGCTGTTGCTGTTGCTGTTGCTGTTGCTGCTGCTGTTGCTGTTGCTGTGCGTCGATCTCGTTCCGTGACGACGCAGCCGTGGTCGCAATCGCCGGGCCCTTTTGAGTACGTGGTGATTCGAAAGTCTTTGGTGCTGCTGCTGTTGCTGCCGACGGTGGAGCGATCATGGCAATGGGATGCTGTTGCTGTTGATGTGCGTCAATCTGCTGGGTCCGTGATGCCTCAGCACCGGTTACGATCGCCGCGCTCTGCTGACAGGGTTTATCACGATGCGCCGCGGTTCGGGCTTTGGCAGGGCGGCGCAGGGATTTAGGGCTGTCACTAAACAGCTGCCAGATTGGAAAAGCGGCGTCGGGATCCTGCCACGTGGCAGTGCGGTGATCGCCGTCCATGGCTGCCAGCTCAGCCCACATCGACTCGGTCAATGCAGCCAGATCGGCGGTTATCAGAGGCTCCGACACGTCAGCATACAGGCACCGAAGGCGGCATTGGCGGCGACGGAGGCGAAGCAACGGTCTTGGTAGCTTGATCAACCGGCGGAGCGCCGGCTTGAGTACCGCTGCCGGCATCGGGGAAGACGATAGAGCCGTCGCCGTTCGCGAAAATGTTGGCGAAATCAGGCGAAACCTCAGCTCCGTGTGCGGCGAGAAGGAGCCTGAGGTCATGGTAGCTCCACCCGTGCGACAGCATCGCCAACTCGCTGTCGCAGCCGTCGCAGAAATTGCGAGCATCAACGCCGTGATCGCAGCACTCCATTCAAACCTCTGATTTGGAAAAATAACACTGACTCTGAGACTGGAAGGATTAGTTACTAACCCCCTCACCCCTGGATCGGCCGACGGTATAATCGTCGCCGCGTCAGTGAAGAGAAGAGCGTAAATGAACGTCCTGATCCGTGGGTCTGCGGCTGGCGCCGCTGGCTAGGGTTGATAAGTAGAACTCCGATAACCACGTACCAATGCGAGACATGAAGGGTGATTAAAGCTCGTCGCGGCGCCTTGTATCGTCTGAGTCTTAAGATATGCCGCGTAGAAGCTTTGCGAGAAAGCAAAATTTGCGTTATGTGTCTTAGACTCTGCAAAGGCCTCCGAGCGGTCGTACACTTATCTCACCGAGTTACTTCCTCACCCACAACTCATCTCAGCTCAGTTCGTCAGCTCATCTCAGTGCGGATCGTAGGCTATGAGGAGGAGGCCTTTTGCGAGCACTATGCCATAGTGCGACTGTATGGGTTTAGTGGTACAGTACGACTGTATGAGTTGCACTGGCGGTGCCAGCCTGCACGCCATGCCACTGCCAGTCAAGAGCGCACTGCTCACCACCACCACGCCACAAGTGACTTGCATAGGTACTATTACGAGCACTATTACTATTACTAAAACAGTCGAGGTGGGAAAGAAAATGAACGCGTCTCCTAGTGGACAAGTTCGCTCCTTCCGGCTTCGCATCGCGCGCTCGCAACGCCAACAACTACACCCTCAATGTACTTGCAGGACCGGCCCTCTGCCAGATCGTAGCAAGAGTGTGTTAGTACCGGGCTGATAACGCTGACGCGGCGTGACGCGATTGGGAGAGAGACAATATTGGATTTCGATGAGCATGACTTGCGGAGAGAGCAGCAAGTGGCGGCGGGTTAAGATGAGCTGGAAACGAGTGGGACAGCCGAGGGACGTCAGGGCCGTTCCTTGTTCGGCGTTAAAGCGACGGTGCACATTTGCCACCCAAAACCCAGAAACCTGGCGAACTGTTACTGCGGATGGAAAGTGTCCGCACGAAATCCTGGTTTTCGCCAGCCAGCACTTTCGCGCTGGCAAGCCTGGTTCAAAAAAAAAACTTCTGAACCCAACACTGCCAAAAGTTGCCCGTCGCTTTAATTAGTTGGGATTCGGGAAACAGTAGTTTCTCTGAAAATCTAGGCAAGTGAATGCGAAAGAGGATGGTTGGTGATTCACCAACTGACTATAACGGTTGCCCATCTCGACCCTACCCAAACGTTTTAAAAGCAAGAAACACCTTTCTGAAACGCAGAAAATCCGCTCAACCATGTCATAATCCTCTGGCCCATATCCATAACCGTTTGATCGCTGGTGACATGTTCGTCATTTCTATTTAGAAATTACAATGCGTTGAAAATGTAAGGGGAGAATATATAATATTTTCAAGGGCCGGCAATGGAAGCTTGTTAGGCCCCTTGGCCTAAATCTGCTAAAGAATAGCGGGGTCGACTAAGTCGAGGATGAAAACGCGGCGGAAGACTTTGGCGAAAGAACTATTGGCGAAAGAGGCGAAGAAGTTACTGAGTAATTGAAGAGTTGAATGAGAATTGATTGATATTGGGGAATACAAGCAAGGTTGATATAGCATGCAAGATCGAATGATGGAAAGTACTTCGTGGGTCTAGAAAGTAGAAGCAAGAAAAGTAGAGTGCCACGTGGCACAAGCAAATCAAGATAAGGATAAGGGTGAGTTGGAAAGTACTATTCAAAGGGAACAGTAAACCCCCCTCTTAACACTACCCCCCTCCCAAGGAGGCGACGTCCGCGGCGCCTGCAAACTGAAGGTACGCTTGGAGGTAAGCGTTGTCAGGAGACACTGAGGACGAAGGAACCCAGCTGTCTGTCAGATTACAATTGTATCTCTAGGCTACAGTAGGGTCACTCCTTAGTGAGTACAACACTTTAGGGTTAGGTTTCCCCTACTTGTACTCACCTCTTGCCTAGTTCAATCATTCATTCCTAGTTCTATTCTTGACATGTTATCAGAGTAGGAACCGTTCCTACATGGGTCCACCGTTCCGCCTAGTGGTAGCGCCACGCCCTACACAGTAGCCAGCGCGCTGGCGCCCCTAGCTCTCACTGTCGCGACCCTTGCAGCCCATGCGCTGCCCCTGCAACCGCGCTGCCCCTGCAGCCGTGCTCGCCCCTACGACCGTGCTGCCCCTGCAGCCGTGCTCGCCCCTGCTACCGTGCTGCCCCTGCAGCCGCGCCTGCCCCTGTGGCCCGCGCGCTGCCCCTGCAGCCCGTACGTCGCTCCTGCAGCCCGTACGTCGCCCCTGCAGCACGTTCACGCTGCCCCATGCAGCTCGTTCACGCTGCCCCTGCAGCCCGTTCACGCTGCCCCTGCAGCCCGTTCACGCTGCCCCTGCAGCCCGTTCACGCTGCCCCTGCAGCCCGTTCACGCTGCCCCTGCAGCCCGTTCACGCTGCCCCTGCAGCCCGCGCGCAGACCTACCGAGCCGCGCGTCGCCTCTGCAGCTCGTCCGCGCGGCCCGTGCAGCCCGCGCGTCGCCCCTGGAGCCCGCGCGCCGCCTCTGCGGCCCGTTCGCGCCGCCCCTACAGCTCCCGCGCGGACCTGCCGAGCCGCGCGTCGCCTCTGCAGCCCATCCGCGCGGCCCCTGCAGCCCGCGCGTCGCCCCTGGAGCCCGCACACCGCCCCTGGAGCCCGTGCGTCCTGCCCCTGCAGCCCGCGCCCTAACGCAGCCCACGAGTCGCGCGCTGCTGCCTCGCGCGTCGCGCTCTGCTGCAGCCCGCGCGTCGCGCCCTAAGGCAGCCCGTCGCGTCGCGCTCTGCTGCTCCTCGCGTCACGCACTGCTGCAGCCTGCGCCAGCGCCCTGCCCTGCGCGCGCTGGCGCCCTGCCCTGCGCCAGCGCCTTGCCCTGCGCCCGCGCCCTGCCCTGCGCCAGCGCCCTGCCCTGCGCCAGCGCCCTGCCCTGCGCCAGTGCCCTGCTATACCCTAAATATAATTAAATTGTTTACTAAAAAGAAAAAAGAAAAAAAAGGGCCCTAGGTGCTTCTGCCCTAGGAGCTACTGCCTACTACTGCCCTGCTGAGGCCGCGCGCCGCCCTGCTCTGGCCGCGCGCCACCCTGCTGCTCTTACTGCTGCTGCTCCTACTCGTGCTACTGGGAGTGGTGGAGGTGCTGCTGGGAGTGCAGGAGGTGCTGCTGGCGCTGTAGGAGCTGGAGGTGCTGGACCTACTCCTGACCGTCACTATCTGTCATGGCCACTTCCGCGGCAGTTGCTGCGGCTAGGGGTGGACAGCAGCGGGCACTCCTTCTCTCGGACGACCCCACCCCTCGGCAGCTTCGTGAGTGGATTATTCAGCGAGGTCGTCCTGGTGGTG